CTGCAAATATCAAATGCAATTTTTAAAAATAGTTCGATGTTCTAACCAATGATGGTGACACCCCCCCCCCCCCCCCCCCAAAAAAAAAAAAAAAACTGTGCCCTAATGGAGATACAGAAAAATTCATGCACGAATGGGCTTCAAATCCTTACCCGTCAGATGACAAAACAAAATATTTACCAAGAGAGCACCCCCTCCCTTCCCCCCACCCCCCCCCCCTACATAAAGCAAACAATTTATAAAGGGACTGAACCTCTTTCCACTTTAAATACACCACCCCGAGTTATTTCTTTGTGTCGGCGCCCTCTGTGTGGCGCTAATGTGAAATTGATGGGTAATCAAATCTGTTGCGTTTCAAAACTTATCGGTGAATTCATTTGCTGAGGAAGTCTAAAACAATTGTATGTGAAAAGAACAACAAATTACCGTACACAAAAATATTTACTAGTGAGCAGAGCTTGTTTTTCTGGCGGTAAGCAACGGCACGCAGTACCGGCACTATAGTAATAGAGACCTTAAAATGAGTACCAACGCTACACTAATAGACACCTTAAATTGAGTACCAACGCTTCACTAATAGACGCCTTAAAATTAGTACCAACGCTACACTATAGACACCTTAAAATGAGTACCAACGCTACACTAATAGACACCTTAAAATGAGTACCAACGCTACACTAATAGACACGTTAAAATTAGTACCAGAGCTACAGTAGTAGACACGTTAAAATTAGTACCTGCACTACAGTAGTAAACACGTTAAAATTATTACCTGAGCTACAGTAGTAAACACGTTAAAATTAGTACCTGCGCTACAGTAGTAAACACGTTAAAATTATTACCTGCGCTACAGTAGTAGACACGTTAAAATTAGTACCTGCGCTACAGTAGTAAACACGTTAAAATTATTACCTGCGCTACAGTAGTAGACACGTTAAAATTAGTACCTGCGCTACAGTAGTAGACACGTTAAAATTAGTACCTGCGCTACAGTAGTAAACACGTTAAAATTAGTACCTGCGCAACAGTATTAGACACGTTAAAATTAGTACCTGCGCAACAGTAATAGACACGTTAAAATTAGTACCTGCGCTACAGTAGTAGACACGTTAAAATTAGTACATGCGCTACAATAGTAGACACGTTGAAATTAATACCTGCGCTACAGTAATAGTCACGTTAAAATAAGTACCTGAGTTACAGTTATAGACGCGTTAAAATTAGTATCAGCGCTACAGTAACAGACAGGTTAAAATGAGTATCTGCGCTACATCAATAGAAACATTAAAATGAGTACCTGGGCTTCAGTAACAGAGACGTTAAAATGAGTACCTGGGCTTCAGTAACAGAGACGTTAAAATGAGTACCTGGGCTTCAGTAATAGAGACGTTAAAATTAGTACCTGCTTTACCGTAATAGACAAGTTAAAAATGAGTACCTGGGGTACAGTTGTAAAAAAAATTGTAGACAAAAAAAAAAAAAAAAAACAGCTATCACAAAAAGACACATTCTCTTGACAATTGCTTCCATTTTCCCTTAATCTGCGGTGATAAATATTTATTAGGAATAATATTTTTCAGACTTGAATCTCTGTCATCTCTTGCCGCTTTCTGTTCGAAATCTTCAAGATAAATGTTTCGTCTGCCTTTATCAGCATGAGTGTATCTAATTTTGTCGCTGTTTGAATTGTTGGTATTATTTCCAGGGCAATTTTATTTGTTTATGGTAGAGTTAATTATTTGTCTGGGTGTCAGTGACTTCGTGAAAAGGCAGATAATATACAGATCTTTCAAATCTGGTTCATCTGTTCATTATTATTATTTTTTTTTTTTAACTAAAGCATGTTATGTGTGAGTGATGTTTGAGGTTTGAACAACGGATCAACATCATGGCACATGGGTAGTAACCCATATGTCCTCCCTTCTTCTTGTAACTCAAGTCTGTCCAAAGAAGGTCAGCACAGTGCACAAGCTCTGTGGTACCGTCGAGGATCCTAAACTACTTTGGGTAGATTTTTAAGACTAAATTCTGCCCGGGCTGCGCCGTTAGTCTACTCTTTTCGATTTTCAACTGCCAAATCGTCTTTTACGTGAGCAACAATGCACACGGGCGTCCGATCTAACTACCCAGATACCATAGGGAATTCCGAGAAGTCCATGTCCACGGGAACAAATCTTAGGTATTTCCGGGGATTGAACCCGGCATCCCTAGCACTCAAGGTGGACACCATGCCTCGAGACCACGCAGCCCCTTATATGAGAGTGTATATACACACAGACACACATAGACACAAACATACTTAACGGCCGAGGTTATTTCTAGTAACAAACACTTTATATTTAAGGTGTAGGTTGTGTCTTGTAACACAGGGTTTAACTTTCGTCAATCTATGGCAATGTTTTGAAGAGAGAAAACTAGACTATGCTGTGACAACTGGAAAAGTCTATGTAATGAGAGGCAAAGGAACACAGTTGCTGCCGGACTGTTTGTTTTGAAACGTCTGACAGCTTCATGGCATTAAATGCGCTCAGATGCTATTAGCTTTTTAAAAAACGAAGCAACTATGGGGTGGCTATAAATTTAGCACTATGATTATTTGATTACCCGATACAGCTAAAGAAAAAGACTCGTGGCTGTCTATGGTCGCGGTGTTGGAATGTGTCACTACACACTCGCCGAAGAGCCGTCTTAACAGCATTTTGGGCCCTTGACAAACCAGTGTGGTGAGGCCACTACGACAATCGTTATGTCAAGTCACTTGACATACAGAGCTTAACATGAGCTCTATGTTCAAGAGGACCTCGGGCAATTTTTCAACAGGCCTATGCATTATTGCTAAGTCGATGTGAACGCTTCGTAATGCCGTGATGCCTGGTTCGATCCCAAGCGCCTTGCGTTGGTTTCGACAGGGGTATCAAGAAAGCCGACCGTCCAGAGGCAATAGCAAACTACTGGAGATAAATGTGCCTGCAACGTCCTGTAAAGGATACGCAACTAACCTCAGATGTATTATTGCACAGACTGTTGGACACAGCAACGCGAGGAAGAAGGATCGTGGTGACTAAACGTTAAGGCACACAATTTTATGTGTTTGGTGGGTTCGCTCGTGTGTGTTTATACATGTGTGCGATTGAAGGGACACTTGGGAATGGAATGGTGGGAGAGGAGATAAGGGCAAGGAGAAATACAGAGAGAGGAGAGTGAGTGAGTGAGTGAGTGAGTGAGTGAGTGAGTGAGTGAGTGAGTGAGTGAGTGAGTGAGTGAGTGAGTGAGTGAGTGAGTGAGTGAGTGAGTGAGTGAGTGAGTGAGTGAGTGAGTGAGTGAGTGAGTGAGTGAGTGAGTGAGTGAGTGAGTGAGTGAGTGAGTGAGTGAGTGAGTGAGTGAGTGAGTGAGTGAGTGAGTGAGTGAGTGAGTGAGTGAGTGAGTGAGTGAGCGAGCGAGTGATCATAACGACAGTAAAAAGAAACTTCCTAAAACTTAGCTACGTTAACTGCTCTACTTAACTAACCAAGCCAGACAGTATAATATACATAAGCAATAGAAAACCCCGCCATCGCAAACATAAACTTTACACTAAACAAAGAGAGGTAACCTAAACTGATAACCGACACCTTTCCTCCCAGCATCGCCTGATGTATATCAGTAAAAAGAAATATTGATTACCCTGTCACCTGTGGAGACAGGTTCTCATGTGCTTATAGCTATCCACCTTCACGCGAAATCTCCAAAGTTCGCGAGATGGTCGAAGATAAATGTCACCTGCAGACAGACACCTCAGAAACGACACCTTGGTCGTATCCAAAAACTATTTGTGCACTGAAAAATGTGGGAGATCTGGTTAGAGTGTGATGGTAATGAAAGAATAACACTCTTTGTCAAGCAGATGAGGAATGTCATCACAATTGATGGCTCATAAACTCTGTCCCTTTTTAAAAAAACAAGCTAGAATTAGAATAGTCTGAAGACAGTATTGTAAAGATCATCCTAGAGGGAAAGGTTCAAGGTAGGCGAGCAAAAGGCAGACAGCATTACAAGTGGGAGGATAACATCAAGAGATGGACGAACAGCAGTATGAGTGTACATCAAGGGCAAGAGACAGGGCTTGTTGGAGATTCATTGCAAGCCACCCTTCATTGTGGAGACGGCACCTGATTGATTGATTGAAGACCTGTAATGAACGAATGCTGATACAAGACACGGTGTTACATGTGTAAGAATGTGTGAACAACGAAATTCATAATCTGTTTAAATCACCACTGATAGCTGGCACCATGAGAGCTAATAAACTGAAATGGTTAGGGCATATTGAAAGAATGTCAGATGACAGAGAGGTACAATTTGTATACACAAAGAATGGTCGTAGACCACGAGGCAAACAAATAAGACGACGGAGAGATAATATTCAGGCAGACCTGCAAACACTTGGTGTCACCAACTGGAAGGGAAGGCCAACCAGAGAGATGAATGAAGGTTGGTGATATCTGCAGCAATGAACCTTTATATTTATTTACCATCAGTAAATTATTGTTGCTTCATTATTACTACGCACTTATACAAGAGGCCCTTTAAAGCCCTCCGTTCCAAAGAAGTTTATACACCCTTGACATTCCTTAAGTTTTCTTTCTGCTGGTGTCCTTGCCTGGGGTAGTGGGTAGGTAGGTAGTTGTACTCCACCGTCACAAGAGTGATAAAAACCCGGTGACACAAACTGCCACCATGGGGATGAGGATCACCCGTGGAGATCCCAGAAACCTCTTTAAGCCGTTAGGCCATATCTATGGCCTAGGACCTATTTATGGCTCAGCTATATCCAGGGCCCCCGGCAGAAGCCAAGGTGAGGCTTCAAAAAACAAAATATTGCATCCCAAATGGGGACGACTTGATGATATGAGGTAGTGGATCGAATTTCGTGAGCAATTATTAACTACTAAAGATCTCTATCTCTACTTCCGCGTTTTTATAATGAAGCAACTTCTTTTAAACATGTTTTATTTATCTTA